TACTAGTCTCCTAATGTGTCAAGAGCAGTGGTCAATTAATGCTTGTGGATAGAGCTACCTTGGAATGACTACATTTGCACCGAATGAAACGGTGTTGGATGAATGTGAATTTGCATTCCATGTGCATTCGCTGCGAAATGACAAAAATGAGGCCGCTAACATAAATGCCACTGCTTCGGCATGACCGAAATGTACGCGTCCTGCAACACCAAATGAATGGCTACATTCATGACCATTTTTGGTCAACCCTGATCGATAAGCGGCACTTGTGGGTGTTGTGATACTACAAACGGTAAATCAAACACCATCTTGCGCCATGTTTGTTGCCTCTTGCATTCATGAACTACCTAATGAATATCTTACCTATGCTGTTGATTGTCAAGTGTTGCATAAGCGAATGAGATTGTTGAGTGTGCATTCTTAAAAAAATACCATGGAATATTCCATTAAGCTGTGTGCCATAGAAGTCGACGTTGAAGGCAACAGGATAGACATGATGAGACGTTACTTACCACCGGATATGGATCGTTGCAGCCCTCGTTTCCACTTGGACAACAGGATGCAGGAACTGTATTCCACTCATTCGCGGTGACTCCGCCACAGCACATGAGCTACATTTGATGTTTTACTAATCCAAGTGCAACTTCATACCGATTCTTGTAACTTATTTAATGATTGCATGACGTCATCTGCACCTGGATCTGGGTTGGAATCCTCAATAGCTGCGATTTGATGTTGAATTGCCAATCTAAGCAGACGAACAAACTGAAATGCCGTGTTAAGCTTAACAACTCTCCGTTAACCCACCTCGTTTTGAGTGACAAATATAATGTAGGCAGCGGCCAACTCAATCACGAACAAAAAGCCAGCCAATGTTGCAAACTAAGGAACAGGTGAAATGCCAAGCCTAGACCTACTGTTAGAAGCATGCATCTATTTCTCTTCCATGCTCCAATGAAGCCGAGAAGAGCGATGACTACTAGCACAATTCCAGCCACAATGATGAACACAAAGTGGCCGATGGGAATCGCACTCTCCATCTGCGAAGCCATCACCACTAGAATGACTTCGTAGAACAGACATACTGATCCGAAAATCTAGGCAATCAGCAATTTACTCAATGCAACTTCAAACTCACCAAGACGATGAGGCTGATAACGGATACGATAATCTTATTGGCAGTTTCACTGCACGAACAAGCCATTTTCAACACCGAACGTGCCTTGCAACCAGCTCTTTAAATCTACTTTAGACATCGCCACCTTAATGTGGTTGGTTGAAATCACATGTGTGAGTGTGTGCATGTGTGTGAATGACGCACATTCGTGATGGGATTGATAGTGTATTCATTGACTGCATTGTGTGAGTTCACATACTGTTTGTCCCATCAATCTGTGAGTAATAGTTGCATCTAAGATGATTCCTAAATTGACGCATTTTGCGCGTGTTTAGCTAACCGCAATCACTTATAAAATTAGCAAATGTTGAATCAATTAAAAAGGAAAGAGTGGCGATACAACAATATGGCATTTCTAAACAGGAGGGACTTCTACTTGCATAAAAGAGTGTTAATAAACTTAGGTCACTTGGATTCAGTAATTCCTTCAGGGAAAGTGATATTTTGTGACGGTAAACGAGTTCTCTCATTTGATATATATGGTGAGAAGAAGAAGATTGCTGATAAAAATGACAATTGGAAAATGTCTATACCACATTGAGAGCAAATTAACAGGAGTCCACAAAACGAGTCGCCTGGGCAGCTAGACAACATGCAGTGTTTTTTCACAAGACAGAAGCTGCCTGAGGCAGAAATCTCGCTTCGTCAGACCCATGCTAGCCGTCTAGACTTAAACTCCACTAGAACATTGGTCTACTCAGTACCGCACCTGTTTACTGATGCTCTTTATTTGATACCTTTATATTGTTTTATTGTAGTAACATTTCTCCTTATATATTTAGAGAAAGAAAGAGTAACAGGGTAACCGCTTAGAAAACAGAATGTTGCGATTCAGCACCTTGTGGCGTTACCAAAGTGAGTGAACAGATTTTGAGGCTCGGGTACGTTTCCAGTCAGCACACCACTCCAGAGTAGTTGTTCTCAACAGTTCCTTCATTTCATCTAAACCGAATGTTTTTACATTCGCCAAGTTGTCTCGAGTCAAATGAAGCAGCATTGTGACAAACACAGCTGAGTCTTGATTTGGCTTCTGTTTTGCCACGCTGGTTTACCTAGAAAACTACTCGATCCCCTCACTAGATACACGTGTGACTATTCCTTGAACACACTTGCTTTCTAACCATTGCTGTTTACTTTACCCATTGCCGTTAAATTTATTGTTAGCCACAACCTGCATAAAACGTTTAAAGTTCAGGATTGTCTTATTAATTATCGATACCAGAAGGCCTATCCGTTACTCCATTAACCGCCGTTTTTTAAATGAATCATGAATATAACATCCTTCCCTGCCTAAAACGTTTAGCTGTTCGAGCAATTTCGGTACACAAACTATCTTTCAGACACAAATTCAATAAGAAATTATGTTATTGTGTAATTTGAAACCATTTACCAATTTGAATGTATCCGTGCTGTGCGACATAGAACACGATGACGTCGTTGTTTCCACTAACTCAAAAATATGCGAAGTCGGACACTTACGTTGACTGATTCCATTAATTCGGTACTGTCCCTGGCAAGTTAACTTTACCCACCGCCTTATGGAGTCGCTAATTTTTAGTGATAGTGTTGCAAATCAGTTTTAAAGCGATTTGGATGCGCAAGAACCCTGTTCGTCAGTTACCACTATTTGAAAGTTTACTTGGAATGTGCCCTTGTATTGAACATCTCTGTCCGTCAGCTCAAATAACAAACAGAACAAAGGTTGTTAGTTCACCCACTATTTTTGCTATCGCAAAATCGAAAATTCTACCTGTGGTTGAGCGTGGTGTTTAGCAATCAACTAATCATCAAAACCATTTTACACACCTTTATGACGTAAAGAGGTGTGTGGAAAGATGAATCGTCGGTCAACGACTAATTTTGTTGAACTTAATAATTTGTCCTATACTGTGATGAGGACTTGGAAGTTTTAGTGTGGCAGTGAAACCGTTGCCTTTCAAGACGATCAGTGTTTTCACAGCCTGTCCAGAAACATGGAAAACAAGTCCATGGACAACGTACAGTTCAGTTTAAATTGGATCGCTAGACATTCAATCTCTGAAATAACGTCGCTACGTGAAGTTATTTCAAGAGTATAGAGTGGCTTGAATTTCTCATATGCTTGGTAAGAGCACTCTCCAATGTGCTTGAGTACATCTTGAGTGGGCATTGTGGTTGCCATCACTTGCTCGACGTAAATAGCGCATTGTGACTTTTGCGTCAAATGGATCGCAAATTCAACTATTAATAAGGATTACCCCTTAGGTTGATCATGTAGATTGAAAGTTTTCGCATCGAATATCTGAGTTCGTATCTCACTAGTGGATGGGCCAAATCTAACCTAACAATGAATGCAGGTTGATGTTTTGGGAGTCGTTTGTTTTGTTACGATATTTAATAAGGAGCTGCACAAATTAATGCTCCGCGACGCATGTTACCGTGGCAGGTATTTTAAGGATTTGCCATTACCCCAATTCGCACAGACGACGCATATGTAGTGACTTTAGTGGGTAATAGTGAAGCTAGGTTGAAATTACTAGGCAAATGCATCACTGCCACAGATACACACCTCACCAGTTACGTTTCATTGCCAATTCGTTATTCCATAATATCTGGAGATTTGAAGTGATATGCTTTACTAATGTTAACCAAGTTTTTTCTCATTAACAAATATCGTGCAGAGCTAACGATCTACTGTTTGGTTGTGCTAGTGAAACCGAAATTGGAAGACAACGACTTACGTATGAAGCTGCTCATTTAAAGCAGTCTATCTGGGAAACGCCGACATTAAGTTTCAAGTTGTAACCACGTGTCAGGCGGCAAGTCTGAAGGGAGAAATTGGCTTTCACTATACACGGGAGTAACCTTCACGTGTTTACTCTTAAATACAGCTTTGGAATAAACAATTAGAAATTATTGCTTGTAGATAGCGTGTGGGTAAAAATAGGTTTTAAGATGGTTTGAAGCATGAGGAACCTCCGACTCAGTCGATTCATCACGCCTTCAGATAGTGAAACATATTTGATGTTACTACAGATGGGTTCCCTATTTTGCTTAGCACTTTACAAGCCTGCCACACTTACTCAGACATAACACGTACTGTCTGCGCCTCCTAACCCTAATGCAATGCGGGACAAGACATCGTGCAGTGACCGTCCATTGTCTCGGTCAAAAGTTCAAGACTACGATCACATGGCTTAATTATATACGATGTGGGATAGTTTCAGTGCGGATATGAGGAAATGGTGCACTCAAAGGTGCATGGACCAGTAGACAGGTGGAGGGGGATATGAATATAACAATTAATTTGCAGCACCCTCAATTGATTGTGGCAATAGAAACATGTAAATATTTTGGAAGCTGTAGACTTGGAGATGCTGAATCCTCAACAATTATCAGCCAGACTTGGTAGTCTAGACATTCGCGATTGTCTAAACATGGGGAAATGCAGCTGAGAAATTGGAATCTTTGATTACAATACTTGCCTGCAACTTTTAATCGCTAACGCTTTCTCTATTCACTTTGACGCAAGCAACATTTCCCTTTAGTGAATATCTTGGATCGCCAAATATCCGCTTCTAGTTTGTGCTAGTGAAACCGCCATGTTAAGACTGATTCTGGTGTATAAGGCTTCAGATTCCAAGCAGACAACTTGCAAAACTTCGGCATGAACTCGCTAGTGGTAAACACGTGTCTAGTTGAAAGTCTGAAAGGAGAACTCGGCTTTCACTGCCATCGCATTAACCTGCACGTGTTTACGCCAAAATCAGCCAAAAATAGTTCTCAGCTATTAAAAATATTTACTTCTTCCGGCCTTTAATATCCATTTTGGAATGTTTACGAAATGGGTGATAAAAGGTACATTTGACTGAGAGCTATTTCTTTTTCTTCCCTGTATGTTAATGCGTGTTGTCTTGGGCCACACTGGCACCACTGCGTCAATGTAGGCCAATTACGCTACCCTGAGTACCCGCAAAGATGGAGAAGATAGGAGAGGACAAGGCAAAACCGTTTGCTAGACAGCTCAACGAAGGGGATCCACGATTCCCCAAGATTTCTCGTCGCTGGTTTCTGGCAAAATTTGCACTATTTCATAAACATGTATATTTTATCACGCTTTTCATCAAGTCAAGGTCAACCCTGACTTGAATTAGTTTCACTTTAGACAACCCAATCGGCACGTAGATAACGTAATTAAAGCACTCTACACGAGCTACGGTCTTGTTTTTGCATTAGCGTGGGAAGGTTTGTGCCAGCGTCAAGAAGAGGTCTGGTAACGTTATTTGATTGGTGTTATCTTTGTTCCGGCCAAACGTAACAAATTTGGCGACTCCGGCGAGATTTTTCTTGATATTAGTGTCATAGGGATGGAACAAGTACTAAAGCGGCTAGTGTCAATGCTTGCAGATCGCCAGTCGTCTCAGGCCGCTCCCGCCGGTACGCCATCAATTGACGGCTTCACCAACAGTATCTCGGAGTTCTTTCATGATCCGGAGAACGGTGCAACGTTTGAGTCCTGGTGTCGGCGTTACGAAGACCTGTTCCGAGTTGACCTCGCGTCCTAGGACGATGCATAGAAGGTCAGACTCCTTACTCGCAAACTGGGCCCAGCTGAATTGAAGAGATACACACACGATCCTTCCCAATTCCTCGCTCGACTTCACTTTTGGAGAAACCGTTCAAAATCAAGTGGATTTTTAGGGAACTCGCCTCCTTGTTCAGTACCATAGAACAAATGCCTCAGACTCGCAATAGGAGTTTGACGACTTCCTTGACCATTAAACAGTGGTCAATCGAGAGTGCGAGAAAAGTCAATTCAAATCAATAACTTATGACCAGCTCAAAACTCTAATTCTAATATGCAGCCTTCAAATCCCTAAATACACGGATCTGCAAACGCGGCTGTTACACCTGATTGGTCGAAATCCCTCTGTGACGCTGGACAATATCCGCGATGAATACCTACACTGGATAAGCGTGCTGCATGACTTCAGAATGGTCCAAGGTGGGGGCCGCAGTGTTCTTAAAGTTAATACGGTCCAACTTATCCAAAACCACCTCCCACTTCTGGCCCTCCCAGCCCTCGTCAACCGAAATCGAACGGAGAATCAGCTGACACAAATCGTCGCAGTAGAACAAGGGACACTCCTCCTTCCGCGTGTTGGCACTGTGGAGCCTGGCATTATATCAAGTTGTGCCCTTACAAGCAGCACCGATGCCAGCGATGCAAAGCTAAAGGCCACAAGGACGGATACTGCCAATCATCCCCGTCTAACAGAAGTTGACGGCACCCCCACCTTCACACAAAGGAAAGGTCAACAGCCAAATCAGCCATCCTCGCCATCTCATCTCTCAGCCTACGGGTCACCTACGAAGACACTCAACAACAGCAGAGGATGTATACAACCGTCTTCATCAATGGTCATCCAGTTCGTCTGCAGCTGGACCCAAACTCAGACGTTACTATCATCTCGGAAACTCAATGGTGCTCCATCGGGAGTTCTCCACTCAGGGACACCTCTGAAACGGCAATCAGTGCTTGCGGCGGTGAAATTCACTTCCGCGGCCAAATGCAATGCTGTGTTTCCTTCCGTGGAACAACCTTCACTGGCACGTGTTATGTCCTCAACGCGAAACTGAACCTCCCTGGTCTGGATTGGTTCGAACAATTGGATTTTGCCGATATCCCAATCATCTATATCTGCAATGCCCTACACTTGTCGACAACGCCTTGCAAAAATACCGCGGACATCATCTACCAGTTCACCACGGTTTTTCTACACGGATTAAGACACTGTTCTACGACACAGGCCACCTTTCGCCCTTTGCCGGATGCTAAACCGGTTCTCCGTCCAAAAAGACCGGTCCCATAATCATCATTACCGCTGGTTGACGCTGAGTTAGAACATTTTGAACATGAAGACGTCCTATCCCCGGTCTTATGCTCAGCCTGGGCAGCCCCAATCGTTGTCGTAAAGAAGGCCAATGGTTCAATCCGGATATGCGCAGACTTCTCCACTGGTCTAAGTGCATCTTTGGAAACACACCACTTTCCTCTTCCAGCCCCAGAGGACCTATTCACAATTCTGAGTGGCGAAAGATACTTCGCGAAACTCGATCTGCACGATGACCATCTGCCACTGGAAGTCTCTCCAGAGTTCCGCCCACTTCTGACCATCAATAACCATCGAGATTTATTCCAGTACAACCGCCTACCCTTCGGAGTCAAGACCGCTCCTGCTATTTTTCAACAGTTTATGGACACCATTCTGGCCGGCATTCCTGGAGTGGCAGCATACATCGGCGACCTATTAATCGTAGCTAGTTCGCAAGATGAGTTACGCAAGCAGATCGAAGAAGTCCTACAACGGATTCAGGACAACGGACTCAGACCTCGCCAGGAAAAATGTGAGTTTTTTGACTTCAGTAAAGTATCTGGGTTTTATCTTTGACGCCACTGGCCAACATCCGGACCCTGAGAATATCCATGCTATTCAACAAATCCCGTCTCCCAAAGATGTTCCCTCATTGCGCTCCTTCTTGGAACTAATCAGCTATTACTCGGCTTTTCTACCGTCGATGAACAATGTCCGACCACCTCTAAATCACATGCTTGGAAAGGACGTACCTTGGGTTTGGTCGGACGACTGCGAGACGGCTTTCTGTCAACTCAAATCAATGCTCAGTTCGGACCTGCTGCTTACCCATTATAAGCCACGCCTACCAATTGTTGTTGCAGCTGACGCCTCCGCCAAGGGCATCGGAGCCGTCATCGTCCACGTCTTCCCTGACGGCACAGAAAAAGCCATAATGCACGCATCCAGGTCGCTGACAGCGACAGAACAGCGCTACGGAAAGATTGAGAAAGAAGCTCTCGCTTTGGTTTTCGCTGTCCGCCGTTTCCACAAATTCATTTATGGTCGACGATCTACACTGCTGACATAACACAAGCCACTGCTGTCAATCTTTGGATAAAAAACAGGCATTCCAGCTCACTCCGCTACTGAAAAATTTTCTGTTTCAGGTAGATTATGTAAAGCTCAAGACGCCTCTTACACGAGAACTGACATCCGCACAAGTGCATTCCGTGTGTTCAGGGATTTTGGTTATGTCCACGTTTATTGGATTTCTTTTGTAATTAAATATGCTCGTTACAAAGACAACATGTGCCAAGACACCAATGGTTCACAATTAACATCTTCATTTTACAACGAGTGGCGATGTAGGAGGGCGCAGACATAATGGACCACGCAAGCCTCAGCCAATCCTCTCTCTTTGCGTTCGGTTGGCATGTAAGGAAGATCTGCAACCAACCAGAGAGAGACACGTATGAGAAGTGGTATATAATAGACGGCGTAGCCAGCGTGGTGATCAATAAAGCCTGTTCAGTTGTACCAGTATTCTTCACACTAGGGCTCTGGTATTCTACAAACGATCTTTCTTCGGCCACGACGGGGCTATAATATTGAACAACTTGTATCCTTACTTACAGTTCAAGGACGTTTGTAGCCAATCGCATTAGAAAATGTTACTCGCGGTTATTTGCTTGCTAAGAACCTTCACGTAATGTTGCTCATGGTCCGTTTCAGTTCTGAGACGCATTGACTTGGCGAACTACTGATCCCATAATCAATAGCAACTTGATTTCTATTTGTGCTTGCATTCAGTGAAATTATGCGCGTTCTATGATTTGGCGTTGGTAATTCCTAACTTCAAATACGTCTGGATGGTATAAAAGATTTAGAATAACCAGGACGCACCGTTGGAAGCAGTGAGTTACGACCAGCATATTGTGTACGAAATCAGTCGAATCTTGCTAACCAATTAACCTTAAGGAGGTTGCGCTTCAAATATGCAGTTATGGAATTATGATGTACCAAGTGACGAAACTGCTCCTGAGTAGAGCAGACAGCCAGTCTGTGGCTGAAGTCCATCTTCAAATTACGCAACGAGAAGACCTGAAATATATGCCTATTAAAGGCATCTTTAAGCTGAAATTATGCAAAAATCATATCGAGAAGGTGTCTTCTAGGAGGTCAATATCGCCATCACACTCACCGCTCGATAGCGTCATCCCAAACAGGTGTCTGTGTGTGTGGATGAGTACGCGTGGGTGGCAGGCGACTACTAACAGCAACCAATAGACTATGGGTGAGTTAATTGTACAATCGGCCTTGTAACCACTAGTCACTCACTCGAGGTGGCTGGCAGTCTACCACAACTGCGTTTGTGATTTGGCACGAATGCCTCCAAAACTTCAATTCACTTGACTGGGAAACAGACTGAAGCTTGCCAAAGCGAATCAACGAAGATACAAGAAATCATGATTCCTCAGGTGTAGCACCACTTGAATAGTTCAAACTAACTTTGATTTAATTTGAATTAGGCAAACATGCATATGTATTCCGAGTGTTCTGGGATTTCGGTTATGTCCGCGTTTATGGGTATTCTCTTGTGATTAAATATGCAGGTGAAACAAATAACATGTGTACAGATATCAGGGTTCTTAATTAACACCGTTATGTTACAACGTGTTGTATGGCGACGTCTGAGGGCGCAGACACAATGGACCACGCAAGACTCAGCCAATTCTCTGTCTCTTTTCGTTCCAATGGCATGCGAGGAAGATAAGCAGCTAACCAGAGAAGGACACGAATGAAATGCCTTATATAATACGCGGCGTGGCCAGCGTGGTAGACTCGGATGGACGGCGCCTGGTGTACGGTCCTGGCTTGCGATTGGTCAATAAAGCCTTGTCTGTTCTACCAGTATTCTTCACACTAGGGCTCGGGTATTCTACAAATGGTCTGCCTTCAGCCATGACGGGGCTATAATATTGATCAATCCGTATCCTTGCGCACAGTCCAAGGACGTTCGCAGCCAATCGCACTGGAAAATGTTGCTCGTGGTTATTTGCCTACTAAGAACCTTTACGTTTAGTTGTTCATGAGAAGCGTTAATTGGGCGAACTACTGATCTCATAATGAGCAGCAACTTGATTTCCACTTGTGCTTTCATTCGGTGAAGTTGTACACGTTCTATGATTTGGCGTTGGCAATTTCTGACTTCAAATGTATCTGAATGAAAAAAAGGAGATTTAGGCTAACCAGGAATCATCGGTGGGAGATGCTTGTTAAAGTCAGTACATTGTGCATCAAATCATTTGAATCTTGCCTAATTAACTTTAAGGCATATACATCTCTAAATTGATATTGTGCAAAAATCATTACGAACAGGTGTCTGCTAAGAAAAGAATATCAGAATCACGCTCACCACTCGATAGCGTCACACCAATCATTTGTCTGTGTGTGTGGATGGATACGAGTGGGTGGCAGGCGACTGCAAACAGCAACCAATAGACTATGGGTGAGTTAATTGTACAATTGGCCTTGTAACCACTAGTCACTCACTCGGGGTGGCTGACAGTCTACCACAACTGCGTTTGTGATTTGGCACGAATGCCTCCAAAACTTCAGTTCACTTGAATGGGAAACAGACTGAAGCTTGCCAAAGCGAATCAACGAAGATACAAATGTCAGCCAATGCATGGCGCATCACACCGGCACAATGTCCTACTCACCATTCAAGTGTCCGTAACTAACATTTGGTATCTTTAGATCCTGAACGATAAGGAGGTTCAGCTTGGGTTACCAATGAGTATGTCAGTAGGAGGTGATGGTGCACAAATATGGAACCAAGTGACGCGTCAGGTGGCTCTTGTGCAGCACGTCGATTCAATTTAAATTAGGCAAACTTGCACGCGTACATGCAGATTTAAACGAAGTCAACCTTGATAATTCGCTCTGCAAAATCCCGGAAATGTCACACATCCAATTAATTTTAAAGATAAAAATTTATGGTTTTTTTGGTGAATGGAATTGGAGCATGCATTATTTAGCTAAAACGAACTCTGCAACATGCCTGTAGGAAGCTTCACTAGGCTCAAGCAAACGTTGAATTCTTCACAAACAATACCATCTGTGTGTTAGCTGTTGGTAATCCAGAACCCCCCAAGATGGCTCATCACCTGTCTCCATCATTGTTTTCACTAAACCCAGTGGCTGAGTCGCCCACGGCACCCCAGCTCTCATCCATCACGTCAAGGTCACCCTTGACCTACATAAGAGTTCACATTCAGACAGATCACTCGTCCTCTGGCGAAGACGATGAAAGCTCTCTGCACGAGGTCGTGTCATGTCTTGCATTAGCGTGGGAAGGTCAATTCTGGCGTCAGACAAGGAATTTGCTACTGGTTATCTCAGTAAGTGTTGCCCTGATTACGGACAAACGTAACATTAGGACATTAATTAGTAGGTGTCTGAAGAGCGGAAAAGACATTGGAAGCATATCGATTAATGTTTGCACAAAAGAAGAGCAAGTTATGGTGAAATTAAGCACAAATGCTAAATTCACAACAAGTACTCCCAGTGCCAATTGTAAACGATTTAGTGCATGCCACGGATCCATAAATGCAAACTCATAATGCCACATCAATCCTGAGTCTAAACACAACGTGGCTGTGCATGAACACAGGCCTCATCTGCCGTGGTGTATGCAGGCGCTAATTCGATTTACGACTCACCTGAGCTC